ATCAGCTAAATACAGAATGTGGAAATTGTAGAAGACAAATCATCAAATTTCTTCCAAAGGGAATAGAAAAGGTGGCTCATGCTTGTAATCCCAGAGACTCAGAAGGATGAGGCAGGAAGACCGTGAATTTGAAACCAGCCTCAGCAACTTAGTGAGGTCCTAAGCAATTTAGTGAGAACTTATCTCAAAATCAATCAATCAATCAGTCAATCAAAGGACTGGGGTTGTGGATTCAGTGGTTAATTACTCCTGGGTTCAATCCCTAGTACTCCAAAGATGGGGGGGAGGGGAGGGGGACTATGAATGAAGAATTTTAGAATCATTTCAACCAAATGTAATGTGTGAATCTTAATCCAAACAAATGTAAAATAACATTTGGGAAAAAAATCAGGGCTATTTACGCACTGACTGGATATTTAAGTATATTTAAAAACTGAGCTAATTTTTATTTATTTACTTATTTATTTCTATGTAATTTTTTTACTTATATATGACAGCAGAATGCATTATAATTCTTATTACACATATAGAGCACAATTTTTCATATCTCTGGTTGTATATGTAGTATATTCACACCAACTCGTGTCTTTATACTTGTACTTTGGATAATAAAGATCATCACATTCTACCATCATTAATTACCCCATGCCCCCTTCCTTCCCCACCAACCCCTGTGCCCTATCTAGAGTTCATCTATTTCTCCAATGCTCCTGCTCCCTATCCCACTATGAATCAGCCTCCTTACATCAAAGAAACATTCAGCATTTGTTTTTTGAGGGATTGGCTAACTTCACTTAGCATTATCTTCTCTTACTCTATCCATTTACCTCCAAATGTCATGATTTTATTGTCTTTTATTACTGAGTAATATTCCATTGTGTATATTTGCCACATTTTTTTATCCATTCATCTATTGAAGGGCATCCAGGTTGGTTACACAGTTTAGCTATTGTGAGTTATGCTGCTATAAACATTGATGTGGCTGTGTCCCTGTAGTTTGCTGTTTTTAAGTCCTTTGGGTATAGACCCAGGAGAGGGACAGCTGGGTCAAATGGTGGTTCCATTCCCAATTTTCCAAGAAATCTCCATACTGCTTTACTTATTTGTTTTTGAGATGGGTATCCTGTTACCCAAGCAGCCTCAAACTCCTGGGCTCAAGCAGTCCACCTGCCTCAGTCTCTCAAGTAACTAGGATTCAAGAGTGTACCACCGAGCCTGGTTCAGTTTCTGGAATTTGCTTCTAAGTAATCCAACAGGGAAGAGAGGAAGTAACTGTTGATAAATTTAAACTCAGATTAGCCATGACTTGATCATTACTGAATGAGTGCATGCAGTTTTGGGAGTCTCTCTCCTTTGGGAAATGTGTGAAATGTTTCTTAATAAAATGATTAGAGGGTAAAGACACCTCTCTCCTGTTGTGTGTGTAATCAGTGTTTGTTAAATGAGAAAAATGACTCTTTTGTACTATTCCAGGATTATGGTCTCATGATTGAGTCCCTAAAACAAAGAAATAAACAAACAAACAAACAAACAAAAAGACTTGGGGGTAAGGCCTGTGAGCTCTTCTGGGGCACTACACAAAGGGAATTGAAGAGTCTGAGTGACACTTGGCAGCCAGTGCACAAAAAGAGGTCATGAAGGTTTGAGATAGTAGTAGCAGTTTTGAATCAGGGAAAATCAGTTGAGGCTTACAGCTGGTAATGAAAGAATAAAAACCAAGAGGCTGGGCTGGGCCCAAGGGTTCAATAGCTCCAAAGCCTGTTTCTCTTAGCCTGTTGAGTCTATAAACCTGGAATAGTACAAAAGAGTCATTTTTTTCATTTAACAAACATTGATTACACACACAACACATGCATAGTATTATAAGAAATAAAAAACCTGGCTTGGTAGTTATAATGCACCAATAAAAATACGTTGACAGTACTCTGAGAAGAAAAAAAAAAAAACAGGCCTGGGAAACAGTATTGCCAGTACAACATTTATGTATAAGCAATTATACACAAGCAATGTGGAAAACAGGAGGAACACCTAAGTTTGCCTAGAGTTAACTAATGTAGATTTTACAGAAGAAACAACTTTGGAGTTTTAAACTTGAAGACCAAGTTGGTATTTGCCAGGAAAAGGGCCAGGAGCAGATTATTTCAGGAAGAAAGAAATGAATTTGCAAGACATAACACGAAACCACAATAATGTGTTCTGGGAACTACAAGTATTTTTTGTTTTGCAGGAGCATAAAGTTGGGGGGCAGGTTCTGAGACTTGTTCCCAGCCTGCATAGATCACCATATTTTCCCTTCTTACTCTAGATCTGGACAAAGGTAAGGCCTTAAGCCTGGGATTCTATCAATCTTCCACAATTAGTTTCCTGATCAGAGAGGTGATCCAATTTCAAGAATAACTCATGGATTGTGGGCCAGACTGCATCTCAGAGCACATGTAGAAAGACAAAGAGGAAAGACGAGGGGGTTTAACAATGTGGTGTGGGTACCAACAACCTAGTTCCTGTAATTATAGATCTTTGTACAAAGAAGGAAGATGAGTCAGTCAGAAGTTCCTACAACAGTAGTGTTTTGTATGGTGAAAATAAGGAGCTAAGCCAAGTGTGAATTCACAAATCACATGATTTATTGCCTTACAAAGAGAATTTCTTCCTTAGGTTCACAATGCTGAAAGAGAAGGAGAATAATGTGAAGAAATCTCCCAGGAAAGATATTTGATAGTGCCGGGTATATTAACCACATAGTGGGTGAGTTCCATAATTATTAGTCTAGTTGCTCAATTAGGATGAAAACAGGCCTCTGAGGAAAGTAAATCTAATTAAAGGTTGAAGTGTACCTTTATACAAGTGGTTCTCAGGAGAAACTGGTTTGACCATTACAGCACAGATCTGTGATAACACTCCAAGCTAGAAGGTAATGCCAGTATGGGCAGGTCTGGCTTGGGAGCTTAGTTAAAGGTCTGCATAGCCTATGATTGTGGGTCTTCAGAGAAGCAGCTAACAGTGTGACTTGCCATGACTCTCAAAGTATCTCTGTCAAAGTTTTAGGCTTATAGGTGTTTTGATGTCTAGTAGTTCATATATGGGGCCTGATTAGGTATGATGATACATTCTCAAGGTGAGGGGGAATTTACTCCCAAGTTCTCAAATATGGAGAGTCTTCATATTCTCCAAGAGAGGAGGAAACAGACATATACTCTTTTTTTTTTTTTTTTTTTTTGGTGATTTTGGGGATCAAACCTATGACCTCAAGTACTTTACAACTGAACTACACCCCCAGCCCCACACTACAAGTTCTTATTATACCAAAACCTGTTTTGTTCATGGAGGAAATTGTGTTTGGAATCATTCAATGCTACATAGCAAGTAGACCTTGTATCTACTGCAGTTTTATATGGACACCGAATCACCTGTATTCATTTCCAAACAAATTCTTTACCCATTTTTCTATGAATTGATTAAATATAACCTAGGTGCCCATTTAAATGGCAGTTTACACATTATACATAAAATACTGAGATAGGATAGAAGACATAATATTAGACAGAAAAAAGACATGGGATAAAATAAGAGTGGCCATAATTAAATTCCACTTCTACATAACTTTGTTCACATACAACACTATTAAGTCAATTATCAGAACTTATCCACAGGTTCCTAAGTAACCTCGCTCCTGACTTTTGCATAAACAAAAATAGACCCCAAATTCGTTGCTCAGAGAAAGATTTTTTCTCTAATTTATATTTTTAGGATCTGATTACTCCACACATGTACCATACTCCTGATAAAATTCACAGTAACCCTCAATTATACATAAATATAGTATAGTACTGTTTAAACTTACAAAGCAAAAACCATGAAACACCACAGAGCGAAGTTGAGATTTTCTCACACTCACACATAAAACCGAAAAACAAACAATAACCCCCCCCCAACAAACCCCTAATAGGTAATGATGAACACATCAAGTGATTAACACAAAAAACAAAGAACTAAAAATACCTTCTTACATCATGCCTGTGAACTAGATTTTATTATTTATATACATATGTATAATACATACATATGTAAATTATATATTACATATATATTGTGTACACATAATGTATATGTTTTGCATTCCATGTTAGGGTAAAGCCAGCCTGGTCCACTTTAACCCCTGCACTCTGTTTTCTCTCAGCGTGCGTACTTCTTGCTTTCTTTTAATAAAATCATCCTGTGTTCCACACTGACGCGTCCTTAATATCCTTTTGCGTGTCAAGAATTCTCACAGCGCATGTGGCTGACCCTTCCCTCTCCTTCGGGACCTCCTGGGGACCCTCGGTCCTGGTGACGACACCACTATAACACAAAGGGTTGTTGGGAACAACCCTTGAGAGAAGCGTAAGGAATTAAAACTCACTACCAAATTACTACCAAGAGGGGCTCAGATAACACGTGGATAATACACGCTGCGGATAATACACTATGGCTGCTTTTCAAAACGTATTTTTAAGTGGCTTAGACCAGGCAAGTCTTTGCCCCATGCCTTGCGCGGTCAACTCAGACATTCGCGGAGATTTCACACAACCGCGGTCCTTCGCCGGCCGTTCTGCACCCCGTTACTCGGACGGTTCCCAGACTCGGGGTCGCTCGGCGTACTATGGCACAAGTTCGGCTTCTGCCCCAGAGGGTCAGGCGTGGCTCAAGCAGAGGCGTGGGTGGCCACACCCTCACTAGCTTCAGCTGGCCCCCGGATGTAGCTCAGCCGCTCACCTCCTCAACCGAGTCTCGGAGAGCGTCTCGCGCCTGCGCACTCCACCCTAGAGAGAAGAGGCGGGACAACGTTGCCCCGCCCCCGCGCTCCCACGCCCCTCCAGGTGCGCTTGCGCCGCGGCTCCTCCTCCTTCGCTTCACTCCCCATCGGATCGGCGGCTGGCGGCAGTTTCTCTTGGCTGCTCGGCGGCTTCGCGCGAGCCCTCACGCTCTGCGCCCGCTTGCTCCTCCGCAGCCCGGCGGTAAGGCCATGGCGTGGCAGCGGCGGGCTACGGCCGGGATCCGAGCCCGCGGCGCGCTGGCGCTGCTGGCTTTGGCCTTGTACGCGCCCGGGTCCCAGAGCCGAGCGCTCGAGTGGTACTCGGCTGTGGTGGGCATCGAGTACGTGGACCCGCAGACGAACCTGACGGTGCGGAGCCTCTCGGAGAGCGGCCGCTTCGGTGATAACTCTCCCAAGGAGGACGCGCAGGGCCTAGTGGGCGTCCCGCTCGCGCCGGGAGGAGACCCCGAGGGCTGCGCGCCAGGCACGCGCTTCTTGGTGCCCACGCCTGGCGGCCAGGGGCCGGCGCCTTGGGTCGCCCTGGTGGCGCGGGGGGGCTGCACCTTCAAGGACAAGGCGCTGGCGGCGGCGCGGAGGAACGCCTCGGCGGTGGTGGTGTACAACGAGGAGCGCTACGGGAACCTCACAGCGTCCATGTCCCACGCTGGTGAGCCACGTGGGCGTGAGAGGTGGAGGAGGTCTCTCTACGGTAGTCACGGTCGGCGGATCCTTTCTCTCTGGCCAAGAAGTGGCCCTGGGCGCGACTCTGATAGTCTCTGGGTATTGGGAGGTATTAGGGGAGCCCTGGATTTGCCCCCTCTGGTTCTCCGGGTGCTGCTGAGAAGGAGGCAAGTCGACACATGAGATTAGATCTTTTCGTTTGGTGGTTGATGTGGAGGGAGGTGCCCTCAGAAGAGGGAGCAGTAAAGGAATGAAAATCTACTGGAGGAAGGTTGTGGTTCTACCAAGTGGGAAGTCCCATTTCCGTTCACTGTTTCCCCAAATCGGGCGGGTAAGGAGGAGTTGAAGCTCTAACCAGTGCAATCCAGGGTCGTGCTACGTCCGTTCACTCTGGTATCTTTTCATTCTGGTGTGTTCACTTTCATGAAACATGTCAGTATTCTAAACTTTGTCCGAAAATTTTGGACTCGAGTCAGAGAACCTGGGCTTTAAGTTCTGTATGTTTTCTCATTTGCTAAATATATGATTTAGCAATCATTTGTTCAGTCTTGTTTGGAAGAAATTTTAGAAGTTACTCAATTGGAGAAAAGACCTTGCTCTTTGCTAGGGTACTCCTCTTACACTTCCCCAGGGCAACAGGTTGCATCTTCAGGCAGTTACGGTAGTTTGAATCTTACTTTCCAAATACTGTCCTTGGAACTGAGTTCTTTCTGGGTAAGAGATAGCCAGGACCCAGAGAGTAAACCTATTTCTGTTGTGCTGAGATCGTATTAGCTTTAGGCATCACAAGATTAACTAATTCTGAACTCCCTTTTTTTTTTTTTAATGTTTCTGTGACTACCAAGTTTCAGACATTCTTTTTCCTCTACTACTGTCTTCCTCCCTCCCTCCCTTCCTCCTTTCCTTCCTTTTTGGCTTCTTGCATACAATGCAAAACTGAACCCTAAAATGAGGGCAGAAAAGTGAGTCTGGCCTATTTGGTGGAATGTTGGGAATGGTAGTTGAGAGGTGAGGAAGTGGAGACTTTCAAGAAGCTTGGCTACAGATTGGGGGGAGGCAGAGAAATTGGCAGAAACTGTAGGAGCAAGGTACAGTGGTATAGGAGATGGTAAGGGGTATTTGAAGTCGGATGGTAGTGATCCTCTAGGACCCCAGAATGGAGAAGTGACTGAAGATGTTGGGTCTGTGATAAGGCAAGAAGGCTTTGTCCTGAACACTTGTGGAAGGGTTAGCCACAGAAAGAGAGGGGAATGAGCACAGAAGTATATGTGGTGACATGAGGTTAGGCACCACCTTTGGTGCTGTTACTCTAGTGATTACATTTCTACCTGTTTGTCCTTGTGCCCAAGCTGTGTTTCATAGACTTATGAAAGGTCCTGCCAGATTTGACATAACATTGCAGATACATACTATCCATAGTTAGTGTGCCATGATTCCCTAATGCTGGTGTACACACTTTTGTATGTAATCACATATTAATGAAGACTTATTTTAAATGGGATGCTCATCATTCTAAATCTCCTCTAATTTTTGATGATGACATTGATATCCTTCCCAGTGAATAACACTTGTTCTAACCATGGTTCAGCACCCTATTTGTTAATATTATTAGCATATAATGTATTCAGGTCCAGAAAAATACCTCTTTATTGTTCATTTGAAGTTCTCTTTTTAGGACTTCTGTTCCTACCATCAGCCTTCATTCTACCCTAAGACAAGATACACAGAATTGTACCTTGTTTTAAGTGTGAAAACTCCCATTGTGTAGATGTGCTCAGCATTCTGTATACAGTGACACAGTCTTTCTGACTACCCTTTAAGGTAGTTTCTTAACCCTCTTGTACAGATAAGGAAACTGATACTCGGAGAATTTTAAAAACTTGGTGATCTATGGCCGGATAATTCTTGTGGTAAGTGCTGTGCTATCCTGCTTTGTAGGATGCTTGGTTGCATGACAATCACCCACCCCCATTGGATTCCAGTAGCACTCCTATTGTTTTAATAACCAAAAATGTCTCCAGAAGCTGTCAGGTGTTCAAGGAGAGAAGGGAGTGACAAAATTATCCAACATTTTGAACCACTGACTTTAAGTGGAGATTACATTGGTAACAGTGTGATTGGTGGATTAAAGAGAGGAAAAGAAGAAAAGTTTAGTCAGACTGTTGGGCTACCATGTGATCTATAAGGGCCAGTACTTCAGTGGTGATTGCAGAAATGGAAAGGACAGACCCTCACAGAACTTGACCCACTTGGGTATGTGACTTTGTGAGTGGAAAGGATCCAGTTTAATTTGAGGTGACAGTAGAGCCTTGAAGGCCATTTAAACTTAGGTTTCCCATATTTAGTCATAATGTAGCTAGAGCCAAGAAAACCCACTGATTGAGCCATTCTGTGTTCAGTGTAACACTGGATTTCTATGAAATACGTAGAGGTGGGGGGCTCATAAAATTGAATACTGATAGTCTTCCCCAAGTCAGGGAAAATTTCAGTAGTTGTTCTGAAACCTATTGCTTGTCTAACTGAAATACAATAATAGATATTTTTTTAGATTTAAATCAATTTTGTGGTTTCTAAAAATCATGACTTTTAAGATAATTCTATTAGAACAACAGTAAGGACTGTTAAAAATGTCCATAGTTCATTAGCAGAATTATATTGAGCAGCCATTTTGTGTAAAGTATTGTACCTGCTCAGGCAGCAATGTGTAGGAAACATGCTTACTTGAAATATAAGCACAGGGGCTTAGGAAGCATAAAGGAAGGGCAACAGTGTTACAAAGGTATAGAAGTTAGCCTGACTGAGATAGGTAGAAACTGATAAAGGTCACATTGTTAACACAAAATCTTTTAGACAATATTAACTTTACTGTAGATATTGTGGGTTAAAAAATAGGGTGCTAGGCTGGTGCAGTGGCACATGCCTGTAATCCCAGCAGCTCAAGGAGGCTGAGGCAGGAGGATCACAAGTTCAAAACCAGCCTTAGCAACTTAGCAAGGCCCTAAGCAACTCAGTGAGACCCTGTCTCTGAATAAAATATAAAAAAGGAGTAGGGATGTGGCTTCGTAGTTAAGTGCCCCGGTTCAGTCCTCAGTACAGAGGGAGGAAGGGGGGAGGGAGGGAGGGAGAGAAGGAAAGGCAAAGAAAGAGCTGTTGTAGCTGAAATCTTGGTATGATTTTACAAAAAGGCGCTTTGATTCTTTGAACAATTATTTACTGAGTGCAAAATACTGGCAAGGATTAGAGCTATGTTTGGGGAAAGAGAGTTGGTAAGGGCAAGGAAAGTTTCAAAGACATGTAAGAAATCTCTGACTTTAGAGAGAGATCACGCATTGAGAGATGTGATTTTTGTATTGGCAGAGTATGGTCTTTCATGAGTGAATAATAAATTCTTAATTATAATACTACACTCACAAGTTATCTTTAAATGTAGATTTGAATTTAAAGTGTATTTTGAAGGGCAAGTTAAAGCTGATAGGGAAGGTGTGTGTAGTGTGTGGTAGGGGTAAGTGAGCTATAGGAATTGTGGGTGGCAGGAATAGGACTGCCAAAGGCTAAAGGTCTGAGGTGAAGTAATGCATTTGGGAAAGCTGCAAAAGAGTTCTCAATGACAGTAGTATGTTCAAGAAATCCAAAATATTTTTGGGAAAGCCAAATTGTCTAAAACACTTAAAATTCTAAAGCACCCAAAAATGAATTGCATGTATTTTGGAGTCCTAAGTCACCCTTTAGCCAATCATGGAAACATTTGTCCTGTGAAATGCTTTCATATTTCTAAGACGTTTATATTTTTACTTGGTGTACTATTTTCCCTGCTTTGGAGTCTATAATTCTCCTTATTAAGTTGTCACAACTGTAGTTATGGAGGATTGATTCATTTAAACCTTTCAATGGGCTGTCTCTGCTTGAAGCAGGGGCTACAAAAACTCATAAAAAAAGAACAGGTAGTACTCATCCAGTGAGGAGAGGAACCTATAAAGAATTATAGTTGGTGGGGCTGGGGATGTGGCTCAAGCGGTAGTGCGCACGCCTGGCATGCGTGTGGCCTGGGTTCGATCCTCAGCACCACATACAAACAAAGATATTGTGTCTGCCGAAAACTAAAAAATAAATATTTCTCTCTCTCTCTCTCTCTCTCTCTCTCTCTCTCTCTCTCTCTTTTAAAAAAAAAAGAGCCTCATTACAGATGAAGTGGCCTCATAATTTAAAAAAAAAAAAAGCTTTTGCAGCGCTTGGGAGAGAACCTAGGAGCACTTTACCACTGAACTACACTGCCTATCTTTTTTATTTTTAGACATGGTCTTGCTAAGTTGTTTAGGCTGTCCTTGAACTTGAATCCTCCTGCTTCAGCCTCCTGAGTAGGTGGGATTACAGGCTTGTGCCAGCCCAGCCCTGTAATTATTCCTATACATATCTTTCTTTTACTAAATGTTTATTTTTCTCAAGGCAGGAAATGTCTACCTCCTTATTGTGTCTACCCAGTGATTATATGGTAGTTTGCAGAAGTGCTTTGGAAACCACAGTTCTTGCTGAGGGATACTTTTAGGCCCCTGGGCAGGTCACAGGATACCTTCCAGACAGGAACCTGTAAGGAGCCACTTTAGAAGGGTGCCCTTCTGGCATTTCAGTAACCGGATCCCAATGGCTGAGATCCACATTTGATGTGCCACAGATTAAATTTCCCTGTGCAGTGAAATAGCATTATAATGTGGTTTCAGTGTAATGTCAGGGAACATTATGTGCATTTTGAAGTTATTGCTTGAATAGGTAGTATGTAAACATACAGAATTTCTACTGTGCAAAGTAAAACTCCCACCCTGTCCAGTAGCCACCAGGTTATCTCCCCAGAGGCATTCTTGGTCCCAGTCTCTTGAATAGCCTTCTAGAAGTGGTTTATGTTGATATAAGCGTTTAACTTCTTGGGAGATTTTTAAGGGCAGCGTGCTGTTCATGTGGTTTTACTTGTTGCTTTTTTTTTCTTCTGAATAC